GTGTGTGTGTGTGTGTGTGTAGACTTTAATAAGAGCGACTCTGAGAGCCACTCTAATTAAAGCGCCCGGGGCATCATGTATATCAGCATCCCCAAGCTGAAAAATGGCAGCTCGGTAGCTTTAGTTGAAGTGCCCCCATCACCATTTTTCAGCACGGGGAACACTGATACACATGACTCTGGAGTCTGCTGGAGTGCGGTGATTATCACATTTCAGCAGACTTGATTAATCTGTAATTACAGTACATCGGAGTAGCCTTGCTGCACGTGTATAGGCACCCTCTATTTCAGTGCTTACTTCCTTGCAGAGGGGCCAGGCAGTAGAAGTGGGGGATCTGCCAGGCAAGGACAAGCCTGACCCTGCACTTACCTGCTTATTGCCTCAGACCTTGATGCATCCTTCAAAGGATCTCATAACACTATGGTTGAGAATCGCTGGGCTATGGTGACCCATTTATTTTGACATTCAAACACATACAGATTAGGTTACAGTTGATGCGAAGTTGTGGTCTTATCCCTTTTTCCACACCAGGCTACAGCTGTCTTGTGGTGGATAAATAAGCTGTGTATAAGCATTTGAGCTTTCTGAAATTATTCTGGTAATAGATTAGATTTAGTAGAAATTTGAAAGATGACAAAGCTCTTGAATGCTTTAGAGAAACCGTAGAAGTGTAGACCAGTAGTTTCCTATACCTGGCTGACTTAAAGGGAACTGAAAAATAAAAATGGCTAAAGCAACGAAAGTGTTCAGAGTTTATAAATAGAAAATCCTGAGGTACATCTAGGGGAAACCCACTTAGATGTACCTAAGCAAATCTAACTTTGAAGCAGCCACAAGAGTGAGTAGGCAAACGACTGCAACTTTTAAAAAATAATAGTCAAGTCCTTTTCAGGTTGGCACATAATGTTAAACCATGACAAGTCATTGTACAAGCTATTTGAAGTTCTATCAGAAGGTGACAATTGTGTAGTACATAAGTAAGGGAACAAAATATAAATTTCTTCCACACTATTATACTTGCCGTCATGTTATGCTTATCCTATATTCACTATTATTGGCTGGTTGTAAAGATTGACTTTAAATTGGTTTTATTGGACCCAGCTTCTCAGAGTATGCCTGGGAGAAATCCTGTGTGTGCAGGATCTTGGCTTCTGTGTGTCCTTTAATGGTTTAACATTAGGCCTTAAGTAACATTTAAAAGACACTAAGTCATGGGTAGTCAACCAATGGTAGTCCTGCCAGAAGTGGCATGGACAGCCTCTGTGTGTGTGTGTGTGTGTGTGTGTGTGTGCGTGTGTGTGTGGGGGGGGGCACATGCTGTATCATGGAGGGAGCAGGAAACACAGCAGTAGCTCAGGCAGGGAGCAGAAAGTAGAACAACTGATCGGGCAAGGGGTGGGGATTCAAGTGTCACTCAGTGAGGGTATATGGTTTACCTTGTGGCATGCCTGCCAGAAAAGATGGCCCCCATTGACTTAAGTAACCCACAAATCAAAATCCCATTGACATTTTATGTGATTTAGTTGCTTCAGTCCCTGAACCACTATGTGTTTCATGCTTTCTACACTTGAGGCGTCTTTTACCATACCTTAATTGACCCCAATTTTTTGGGATCCCACTGTTGCACTTCAGGTTGTCTCATTGTTTTTGGATGGATGAATCCCATGAACACTCTCCATTCTTACATTTGTCTCTTCCTGCTTTAAATGTTATCTCAATATATTTTACTTCTAATATGTTAATATTTTATCATTTTTTATTTTTTTCATTCTTGACGCTGCGTTCATTGACTTCCACTGTCTTTCTTCTTGTACTATGCTAAAATCTGCTTGATTTTAAAGGGTTGTTCTCTGCTTTTTACATTCTGTTTTATTGTACTTATACTTTCTTCTTATTCTATACAGCAAGGAGTCAAAGTCATTTGGCTCCATGGGTCCACTCAAAGATCCATGGGCAGCATTGAGGGCCAAATCATAGCATTCTGCGCAGGCCCTATCTTTAACATCCTTGCTATACAGCATGTTGGTGGGCTTGCTAATTAAATTTACCATTCTGTTTTCCTGTTCTATCTTTTAGGTATCACTGCTGATTGGATTCATCTGTGTCAATAGCTCAGTGTGGACAGATTACAGTGCCTACAGCTACTTTCAGATTGTCAGCATATGTGACTTGATTATGATTGGTATCTTTTACTTGGTCTACATTTTCCGAGTTTACAAAATGCTTACCTGCATTAGCTGGCCTCTTGCGGTAAGTGAAGTAGATTTGCTTCGCTGCACCTTTTCTCTACCTCATTGTTTGGGCTGCTGTTAAGCGTATACACTCTGTCACTTCCTTACCACCTTTGTATTCCTTTTTTTTTTTTAACTTTCTTCTTTTCCACGTATGAATCCTCTAATATTAGGCATAGTGCCTGCTAAACTGAAGGTATTGGGACTATTGTATGTTAGTTAGGTCTGATTCTGCATTCAAACCAGTGTAAGTCAGAACTAATGCCATTGAATGTAATAGAGTTACTTTGAGATAGATGAAAAGAGACTTTCATAGTTTCATAGTTGGTAGGGTCAGAAGGGACCTGAGCAGATCATCAAGTCTGACCCCCTGCCATGGCAGGAAAAAGTACTGGAGTCAAACAACCCTGGCAAGGTGTACATCTAGCCTCCTCTTAAAGACCCCCAGGGTAGGAGCCAGCGCCACTTCTCTTGGAAGATGGTTCCAGATCCTAGCCACCCTGACAGTGAAGTAGCGCCTCCTAATGTCTAGTCTGAATCTACCCTCTGCCAGCCTGTGACCGTTATTTCTAGTCACTCCTGGTAGTGCTCGAGGGAACAGGGACTCCCCCAATGCCTGCTGGTCCCCTCTGACTAGTTTGCAAATGGCCACTAGATCCCCCCTCAGCCTTCTCTTGTGGAGGCTGAACAGGTTTAAGTCCCTTAACCTTTCCTCATAGGGGCTGCTCTGCTGCCCCCTGATCATGCGAGTGTCCCTTCTCTGGACCCTCTCCATGTTGTCCACATCCCTCTTGAGGTGCGGCACCCAGAACTGGATGCAGTACTCCAAATTGGATGCAGTACTCCAGTACTTTGGGCCCTTTATTTCCAGTACTGCTCATAACTGAGCATTGAATAGACTGACCCTAATTCAGAAAGGCACTTAAACACATGCTGAACATTAAAGTTATGCTTAAATGCTGTTCTGAATAGGACATACAAAAAACTAGAACTCTTGGTTCCAAAATGATACCTTTTATTAGATCAATTTCTAATTAATTCTAATTTTATTAGACTAAATTCTAACTGAGTTCTGAATAGCAGTGTTTTCCCCAAATCATGGCGACAGAGCTTGGCTTATGGGAAAACAAAGCCTTTATACTTCTCAGTGGCAGAGTCATTAGAAAACTACAGGTGACCTTTTAAAAATGTATTGAAAAAGGAAATTGGGTTTTGGTTTCGTTTTGTTTTGTCTTGTGGTGGTCTCTTTTTTTTCTAGCAGATGTGTTCCAGTTCTAAAACTATCCTGTATATTCTGAGCTGAACTGTTGTCCCTTTTTCATTGCTAACCAAAGTGGCTTTAAAATATTACCAGACACAGGATAGTAGCATTATACAACTACTTTCCAAGGTGCAAGTTACTGGACGAGATGCAGAGTAATGTGGAATCAGGCTAATAGTAAAGACTTAGCTGAAAAAACTTATGACTGAGAACTAGTTACAGCACCGCACCATTTACCTAGTTATGTTAGCTCTGTCCTATTTGAACAAAGTCTATTCAGGCTGTTTCAGGTGAAATATAACCTTTCAGTAAAGCCAACAATAGCAAAACATAAACCTCAGCTTCCCTCACTCCAGAACCTGGCATGTTTCTAGGATATCCTGCAGGATGTTCCTGTTTCATCCCATAGTTTCCCTGGCTAGTCAGTCATATTCACCTTTTATATTCTGGTGAAGCTAACAAGCTGCACAAGTTAGAATGAATCAGCCAGACTTAATAGCTTTCTTCAGGGATCCAAGTCCTACTAGCAGGGTCAGTTAACAGAAGAGACCTGCCTTATAGGGCTTGACCATAGGTCTTGTTACCTCATTATAAATTAGGTTTTTTAAAATCTAGTAACATAACCATTCTGCTTAGAATGAATGGATTTTTGATGTCCAAAATCCAGATCCTAAACTGGTGTAAATTAGCGTAACTCCACAGGTTGCAAAGGAGCTGAAGCTCTGATCCTGACTTTCTAACAAGGGATCTGAAATTTTGTACACAAACGAGATGTCCAAAAATCCCTTTCTCCCCTGTTTGTTTTGAGGTAGTTTCTCTGCTTAGTTTTTCTTTCTATTTGATTTACAAGTGATCAGCATTTGCCTTGGCTTGTACACTTTTGAATTAAGTCACGTTGACATGCCTTTCTGATAGTGCACTATATTTGTCTTTGCAGGAATTTCTGCATTATTTAATTGGTACAGTTCTGCTTTTCATTGCATGTATTGTGGCAGCGTCCAAGAGCTACAATCAATCAGGACTCGTAGCTGGAGCGGTAAGACTTTGTTAGATCACCGTGTTTACAAGCTCAGAGACTTCGTATCTGTTATTTGCTCTGTAATATGTATCAGGAATTTATTGTTTGAGGCATTCTCTGTACAGTTGCTCCTTGCTTAAGTCTTGGAGGAAAAAAAACAAACTTTGATGATATTTTTCTCTGAGAAAACGCATGT